GGGAATAACACGACCTGGTTTCTAACTATGACGCACATTTATAATTAAATATTTTGACTTTAACAAATTTTTGTCTATTTAAACTGTACAATCAGTTGGAATTCTAGTTAAATTGAGCGGAAGCTAACTTTGTTATCCAATTAGAGTTTGGCTCAAATTAGCATGTATATTGTACACAATATTGGATGAAACGAAAGTTTTAAACAGTTAGATTTCAATTTATATCATCTCGAATCCTTTGAATTATTTAAATCCGAGAACTCCANGAACTAACACTAGACCTAGAACTAGAAAGTTTCGGGTCTTGAGAGATGTGCGGCTAAACCCGAATGTTTCTAGTTCTCGGTCTAGTGTTAGTTCTAGTTTTACACTAGCACTATCACTAGAACTAACACAAGATCTAGAACTAGAATCATTCGGGTTTAGCCGTCTTGAGAGACCTGTGGCTAAATCCGAATGTTTCTAGTTCTCGCTCTAGTGTTAGTTCTAGTGGCAGTGGTAGGTAGCTCTAGTTAGCATAAGATATTATTATGTTGTATATTTTTATTGCACTAAAACTAGAACTATCACTAGAACTAACACAAAATCGTTCGGGTTTAGCCGTCTTGAAAAATGTGCGGCTAAACCCGAATATTTCCACTTCTAGGTCTAGTGTTAGTTCTAGTTTTAGTTCAATAAAAAATATACAACAATCAAGCGCTGAATAACACTATTATAACTTGATTTATACATCGTATAGACAATTCGGGGAATACCCCAAATTTATCTATGAACATGAAATAACTCTATTTCAGCAAACTGGGGAATAACACGACCTGGTTTCTAACTATGACGCACATTTATAATTAAATATTTTGACTTTAACAAATTTTTGTCTATTTAAACTGTACAATCAGTTGGAATTCTAGTTAAATTGAGCGGAAGCTAACTTTGTTATCCAATTAGAGTTTGGCTCAAATTAGCATGTATATTGTACACAATATTGGATGAAACGAAAGTTCTAAACTGTTAGATTTCAATTTATATCATCTCAAATCCTTTGAATTATTTAAATCCGAGAACTCCATCAACGTTTATTTTTAGATAATAACAAAATCCATTAAAACCCTAAAAATATCCAACCACATCGATCCCATTCAGTTAAATATTAAATAACAGACTTTATTTTTCAATAAATTCGTTTAAAAAATATTTAGGAATAAAATAAAATGGCGAATGCGCCGGAAAAATGAATTAAATTTTGATATCGGAAAATTTTAAATCGAATATTTTCTCGGTAATAAAAATCTGAGAATGTATGCGAACGCTGCGAAGATGGAACTAACGTCGACGCCGTAGCTCTCTTAAGCTCTAAATAGTTCATTACACTTTCTATTTATGTTTGGGGCTTTTGATTCTTCGCTTTCGTATTGCAAAGGCGCGCCTTATGTCTTGAAACTGCGGGATTTATAAAGGGACCAGACAAAATAAGATTTAAGGAATTTTCCTCTACAAAAAAAGATCTCAACCTTTAAATTAATTATTAATGTGGCATTAAAACACATTCAATTTGAAATAATATGGTTTTGAAAGCTTCGGATCAATAAATAAATACAAATAGATAAAGATTAGGAAAACTTTAAAGTGTAAAAAAATGGGGTGGATAGAAAAAGGGATCGATTGATGGGTAAAGGTCAGTTAACACGATGGATGATTTGTAGTTATATAGCGAAATGTGATAAATGACCTGTTTATTTTTGCAATTTTTTTATCATTTTTACCCTTTGATCTATTTTATACTTTTTTAACTATAAAAGGGTTCGTAATTTTTATTCTTTCATCTTTTATACACTTTGTTTTTAATTTCAAACTTTTAAATTTGAAACTCCGACATAATCTTAACCTTTATTCGAATTACATCGAATCGTATCAAATTTATTGTTGTTTTCGTTCTGCTTTAATGATCTAACACGCTTTGTTCTTCTAAAAAGAATCAAATTATAATTATGTACAAAAACTTTTGATTTTCTTTGTACATTTTTTTTGCTCAATACTATACATTTTTTAAAGAAATAACTATAATTTTGAAAATAATTACTTACAATTAGTTGATTCATCCTCAAAATAATTTGATGTTGGAATTTAAACCAAATTTTCACCAGTTAATGTAACCTAAAAGATGTAATTTTCGATTCAATAAAAATCGTCTCTGAGGGCCCACTCCAAGATGTTATTAACCAAATTTATCGACACAATTCAATCCTGAGTAGATTCAATAACTCGGTCTAACCAATTCTTCAATCTTGAGATTTGAATTTCAAAGAAGTACAACATAACCTAAAAAAAATTTTTTTAAATGTCAAGTTTAATCATTATTTAAAATAAAGAATGTTATTATTAACTTCCTATTTGATTATTGGGTATACTCACTTAATCGAATTCATTAAATAAGAGTTATTTCATTAAAATAATTAATTGTTATAAAAAACATAAACATTTCGTGCTACGATTATCTCGTATACATTTGGACTAATATTAAAATGAACCAAATGACGTTTTATTATAAATGCCTTACTAAACGTTTTTTAAATGTTAAAAATTAAACAAAGACTTAATTTATTTATTTAATTACAAATATAAATTAATTTTATTAATTAATAATAAAAATAAATTAAATTTTTCTAAATTTTAAAATACCCAACTTTTAATGTCATTTAAACGTCACATTGACGTTTCCATCATGCAAAAATGTCATATTTTGAATTTAAAAGATATCGAATTTCTAATCTTAAGTGTAAGCAAACAACATTCCCCAGCGGTCGTCTTAAAACTCGCCTCAACGAGGAGGAGGAAAGCATAAGAAGAGCTTGGTGCTGTTAGTTATAAATAAGCACGTCTTATTTCTAGTCTCACCGGGTGTCAACCTAACATAACGTCTCTTCTGTTGGGTTCAAGTTAATAATAAACAAGACTCAAGGCTGCACGTGACCAAAACCGACACGGATCTCTTTAAATCATCGTGAACATTTTTTTAGAGTGAGAAATTTTTTATTTAACCTAACTTGGTACATTTTTTGGTTAAAATTTTTTGATGATTCTTTCAAAAGAGATTACTAATAGGTTAAAATAGAGAAATATAGTCTTTGTTTTTGTCATAAATGAGTCAACAAATCTTCAGCCACCAGAAGATCTCTTGCAATACCACTTCTAAATGTTAAATTGTTAGTTTTCAATGTAATTTTTATGCATTTTCTAAATATATTTTCCAAGTACATTACAGGGTATCAAGATTTTTAGAAAAGTTCTTGGTGCATAAAATCACCATCTGGGCAAAGATTAATGAATTTAAAATGTTGTTCCCAATTGGTTTTTGTTAAGCTTGGGTTGTGATTGATTTTTTTAAAAGTAATTAAACACGTAGGTGGGCATATTAAAATGAAACCAGGCGTGGAATTTTTAAAAATTAATAAACATTTTTCAAAAATAATTAGAAATGTGTCTAATAAAGGTGGAAATGAGGCTCAATTAAACGGTAGAATGGCGTGCTTAAACCATTAAATTACAGAGTGTTTGTGTGTGTTGTGAACATAAACATACGTTGTAACGGGGAAGAGAGAAAATTGGATCGGGGTTTTAATAAATTCGTAATGAGATTTGTTTTTAAATTGGTTAAATTAATCTATTTAGGTTTAGTTAATTATTTTGGTTAAAGTACTGTTTATTGATACTGCCATAATTACTAAAAACTAGCGATGAAACGGATAGTAATTACCACATTATTGCGATATTTGAATAAAAATGAAATTAATAAGAAAGCTGATAAGATATGTCAACTTATTTGGACCCAAGATACAAAATGAACTTTTTTGATACTGATTTAACTAACGAAGCAACTCTAACTAAAACTTTAATTAATAATTGGTGATATTTCCACAAGGATCCTTCAAGGAATGAATTTTATAGCGAATTTTGAGAATTATTGATGAAAATTGCAACATCGAAAATTTGATCAAAACTTCAAATATTGTTTTCTCAAAAACTAAAAATTATTTTTCAAGACGGGCTAGTTCATTGGAAAGAGGACACTTTTATTAACATTTTTGGAAAATTTTATATTCATATTCCAAGAAATGGATTTTATACGAATTTTTGAAATTTAATCGGCGAAAATTGCAGAATTAGAAAAAATTGTCGATTATTTCAAAAATTTATTTCTCAAAAACTAAAAGTGATCTTTCAAAACGGCTTCTTGCATTAAAAAGAGTATACTTTAATTAATAATTGGTGATATTTCCACAAAGATTCTTCAAGAAATGAATTTTATACCGAATTTTGAAAGTTATCGATGAAAATTACAACATCGAAAATTTTAACAAAACTTCAAATATTGTTTTCTTAAAAACTAAAATCTATTTTTCAAAACGTGTTGGTTCATTGGAAAGAGGAAGCTTTTATTAACATTTTGTGAAATTTGTATATTCATATTCCAAGAAATGGATTTTAGGCGAATTTTTAAACTTAATCGGCGAAAATTGCAAAATTCGAAAAAATTTTCGATCATTTCGAAAATTTTTTTCTCAAAACCTAAAAACGATTTTACAAAATGGCTTGTTGCATCAAAAAGAGGATATTTTCATTAATAATTGGTGGTATATCCACAAGGATCCTTCAAGAAATGAATTTTATGGCGAATTTTGAAAGTTATCAAAGAAAATTGCAACATCGAAAATTTTATCAAAACAGGAAAGAAGACACTTTTATTAACATTTTGGGAAATTTTCATACTCATATTCCAAGAAATCGATTTTATACGAATTTTTGAAACTTAATCGGCGAAAATTGCAAAATTCGAAAAATTTGTCGATTACAGTCTTCTCAAGACATTCGCATGGATCACGCGTGATTCGTGTTCTTTCCGTAAATAACTAGTTCAGTGATCTAGTTTTAGTGCTACAACCAAATATTTTGTTTTTGTACATACCTTATCTACTCCCCTAACTCAGGGACTGTGAATGGAAACAATGACATCGAAAGGTTCAGAGGCTTCGGCCTCTGAATCCGACCAGGACGGTGAGTCTAGTAGTGGTAACAAGAAACGGGGTAGCGGTAGTGACTCCACTTTCAAAATTCCAAAATTACCAAAAAATACGGGACGAGAAACTCGTTTAACACTCGTGATGTAATTATTAAAACACAGCAGGGTTTCTTAATTAAATCCGTCAACAATAAAACACCGCAAATCCCTTATCTAACTCTCCTAAAAGACCAAAATATAATCGCAGAGTTCTCTGAAGCAAAGAATTTCATTCCTTCTACTAAAAAAATACCTTCGGCTTCGTATTCGGCCATTATCACATCCGTCGATCTAGAAATTGGAGACCAAGAAATTAGCGACGAACGGAATTCACAGAAACTATCGGATAGATTCTGCAAAAGAATAATTTCAAAAACCACTAACAATCCAATCTATAAGATTAGAATAATCACAGGATGCGTTGATTCGTACCAAAGGCTACTCCAAGAGGGTTTTTTTTTTATAAAAACTGTCATTTCCCAGTTTACGAGAGCCGTCCTCCACCACCAATTCCAATTCCATGCAGTAAATGCCATGATTTTGCTCACACGACCAATAAATGTAATGTTCTAGTAAAATGCTCCAAATGCTTGGGTCCTCACAGCACCACCAAATGTACCTCCCAACTACCAGAGAAGTGTAGGTTTTGTGGCATTGAAGGCCATAGTGCATGGTCTATGATATGCAAAAAGCGACCCAAAGCACCTATACAAGGCGTCCCCAATGTTAGAATTAAATCGGCTAACAAAAAATCAGACGAAATTATGAACAAAGCCACCAAAGAAAGCCGCATTAATAATCCTGTTACGATCTACGATTAAATTATCGACACTTATCTCACAAAAATCAACTCTAACAAGTCGTGGGATCGACAAAAGCTTTTAAATGCCCTAATACGTGCCCTAATTCATTGGGCATCATCAAATCGACACAATCGTTGTTTTTTCGGGAAGCTACATGTATATAATGATTGATCCAATGATCCAAGATCCAAGAATTAGGAAATATTGTGAACAGGCGGATGTCAGAACGGTGGTTATGGGCGATCCTGCATTACAAATTGGAAAAGCTAATCCTCCCAGAATAAATTCTCCACTAAACAACGCCCTCCATTTTACTTTTGTGATTGGCACAGAAAGAGTACATATATTGTTGGTTTATATACATCCTTTTAGTAAGATAGAAGAAACAATATTTAACATGGCTGCACGGTACGACAATTGTCTAATAATCGGTGACTTTAACCCAAACCCAGCCAAAAACAGACACATCAACCAATTTATGACTATGTCAAATTTTGTGCGCATCGCAACACCTCCGACGTTTGTCATGGCAAATAATCTTAACTCCAAGCCTGATTTAATCTTCTGCACAAACAACATAAGACCGCTCATCACGTCTGTTAATATCATTCCTGATCTGTGCTCTGACCATCTGGGTCTTGTGATCTGCATTAATACAACCACTCGAATACTATAAACTATAAACTTTGTAATATGGAAAGATTGAACGCAGGAATAAAGGAATATGTGAGATCTAACCCTGTTATTACACCCGAGTCTATCGCAACCTTTAATTTATAATTGCTTAATTTGGTGGATGAAGAACGATTTTCCTCTGCCACCATTTATTCTCCGTTTGATTAAGGAAAAGAGACGACCCTACCGCGATTTTAGATCCTATGAGGAGCCTGCTCTGAAAAGAGTGTTTAACGAGCTTAATAAAAATATCTAAAAACTAGTGCAGCAATTCAGAAGCAAAAAATACATTGAGGCCTGTGACAAAATCAACAGAAGCAAGGGTAAAAACTACTGGCAAGAAGTCCGCAAACTTTCGAAGTACCAAAAGTTGCCAGAAACCCTGCTGCTCACACTCTAGCCCGGAAAAAATCGTAAACATCCACGTTGAATATCTTAAGAGGGTATTTTCCTTCAGCAATGAGGCCCTGTTCTGCCCTCACAACAAAAACAGAGTAGACAATTGGTACCAACACGCCTTTCTCAATTCGTCCGAAAAGATGCTCTCATGCAGGAAGAAGAATACTTCTGCCAACACAACCCCTGGATACGACAACATTTCAAGGAAAATCTTAAGGAAGCTGGATCTTGATATCCACGCCTACATAAGAAAAATTTACAACTATTGCCTTACCACCCAGCATTTCCCACAAGACTGGAAGACCTCTATTATCATATGCATCCCCAAGAAAGATTCTTCTCTATCCGACCCTGAGAACTAATCTCGTTGCTACCCGTAATGGGGAAGCTGTTCGAGGTACACTTGAAGAACACACTGCTCGATGTTGTTGCAAGGAGGATTCCGTCATACCAATTTGGATTCCAACAAGGTAGATCTACATCTCATCCCTTGGCAGTGCTTGTCTCAAACTTCCAAGTCGCACGTTACCAAAAACAACAATCCGCCGCAGTGTTCCTGGATGTTCGACTCTGTATGGCACAGAGGTCTACTATACAAGCTAGCTATGTTGAAAATCCCATCTTATCTCCTTAACCTGCTAAAAAAATTGTTAAAAAAATACTACTGTCAAGACTCTCCCATCTCGCCAGCACTGTACAACGTCTACTGCCATGACATCTACAACGACAACCCAGACGTCTTCGATTTGAAGTCTTACTGCAGATGCTTATCCAAAACATAGAGGAATGGTACCGAAAATGGCGTATCCTAATAAATCCTTCCAAAACCCAATTCTTCATCCCTTTCCTCCCTATTAGCGTTGCTCCTCCCACAATAATGATTCAATCTCTTATCACAGCTTCACCAACTTGCAACTACCTCGGCATTACCTTGGATAGAACTCTTAAATTCTCTGCCCACGTCATCAAAGTAAAAATGAAAGTCAAAAACCGTGCCAAACACTTTCGCTCAGTCTCATATAGAGGCCGAGGAATATCCATCAAATGCGCTACTCACATATACACCTCAATATGCCGACCTATTATCGAATATGCCTCATTAATCATGACTGAAGCGCCGAGAGGATCACAGTACCATCTGGAAGTAGCAGAGAGAGCAACTCTGAGAATTATCACTCTAACCCTTCCAACGAACTCCTTTACGACCTTACAAAGATTCCTCCTATAAACTCTTCAGTCTACAATTCTTATCCCTTAAAGCAATTATGAACTTCCCCATAAACGCCCTAAAAAATTTCGTCTTCATTACCCTCTGCCTTACCCACTGCCCCATAACACGGCTCACACTTCTTAAAAAAATAAGTCCCAACTGAGAAGACCTACATCTAAACCGAAGTCAAAGTCACGGGCAGGAAGACTCAGATTTATAGCCCTTTTGGACTCACTTTTATATTTGTTCTATATATATGTATTTTTTTCTCCTATTTGTTATAGTTATTTTTTCATATAAGTCTAAGCAATGAATGTGATGACGAAACTGCAACGAGAGATTTTATATATCGTATTGGGATTGCTACAGTGAGGTTGCTAATGACAAACCTGATATAAATAAAGTTATATTCTATGAAGAAAGTCCTATTGGGGTTGAACTTGATTATTATCAACACCTAAAAGAGATACTAATTCCGGATATCAAGAAGATTATTGCCGGATGTCCGTTCCACCACTACTAAAAACTGTTCCTCAATTCCTATTTAATGCAATAATAAAATTATATCATTCGTGCCTGATGATGTCCTACGTTTAGGTCGAAACTAACTAACAAATTTCCAATAAAGTTTATCTTTTAAAAGTGAAATAGTCTCTTTCATTCACGCATGCAAATTGAAACTTGAATATTTAACTTTTACATCTTCCTCTCGATTTAATACCTCCCCTGAAACGAGCGAATAGAAACACGAATAAAGCTTTTAAATTGAGCGTGCATAAAATGAGTTTGAAAGAAAATTTTTGATGTGTTTTGTATCCATTAAGTTTAAATATTGATCTCATTGTTAACATGTTGATATACAACCAATGTCACAGTATTGGTATTGCAATACGCATACTGTGACATTGGTTGCATACTTTTTAATGATGACGTCGTGTACGATAATTAATTAACACACTGTATTTCAACCTAAATTGTTTAAATCCCCGTATGACTTTAATTAATTCAATTTAACGACCGAAACTCACCTCCGACTACCTGGAACGAGGTCAATTTAAACGTTTCCATTTAAATACTTAAAGAGGTAGGTAGAGAAAACTGGAAATGGTTTAACTGATTCTAACTGGTAGAGTCGGTTTTGTTGGGAAAACGTTTGGGGTGGGTCGTGGTTTCAACAAACAAGAAATGAAGGGTGGGGAAAATACAAAAGAGGTGGCATGCGAAAACATGCCCCCTTTCTCAACCCCGTTTTAAAGGGGGCCATTATGCAAATATCACCCATAAACTCGTTCTTGTTGTATATACACGATACCCCGTATTTCCCATAAAATTTTTTTTACCTCCTGTTTTTTCTTTCTCTCTAATTTCTTCAAAGAGGTTGTAAAAAGATTCATAAATAACACAAAATTTCTTTTTTAGGTTTATTATCATGGGACATCAACGACTGCTTGATAGATTTAGAAAAAGAACTAGCTATTATAACGGAACAAGCACCGGAAGGAGAAGAAGCTAGATACGGTGAGTTGAAACATGTATTTTTTGATTCACCCAACGAGACGGTTAAAGATAAGAAAGTTTTTGACCTAAATAAGGCGAAATCTGATTACGGAGTTCGTTTTAATCCGTATTGTCAGGTTGAGGAGTCTTTTGCCAAAAAGTTTTTGTCGTTGAAATGATGTAATTACTTTAAGTTTTAATTAACAAAGTTTATGACGCAACTTTAGTATTTGTTAGTTAAAGTGGGGTTTAATTGGGTTGATTCTTTTCTTGGTTTGGGTAACTTTGATTATTTTAAAGGTTTTTTTTATAAAGATTGAATTTATAATGATTGATCGAATATCATTGTTAAACTATCCTATAAGAAAGTTGATGAGAAGAAAGATGATGGCAAAGAAATTAGTAAAGAAGAGATTACTAAAGAGATCATAGAAATTATTGAAGAAGATGTCAAAAAGGATGCGACAGAAGTTAGCAAAGAAGATGTTAAAGAAAGCGGGACAAAAATGGTTAAAGATGATGTCAAAATGGATGCTAAAAAAGATATAGTAGAAATTAGTAAAGAAGATATCAAAAAAGATGTCAAAATTGATGCTAAAGAAATTACCAAAGATGATAAAGAACTTAGCAAAGATGATGTCAAAATGGCTGTTGAAAAAGATGCTACAGAAATTAGCAAAGAAGATGTCAAAATAGATTCCAAAGGAGGCGAGGAAGGAATTATCAAAGAAGATGACAAAAAGGACGAAAAAAAAGATGATCAAGAAATTAAAAAGGAAGATACTATAAAGGAGGTCAAAGAAGATGGTGAAAAAACTAGCAAAGAAGATGACGTTAAATCAGAAATAAAGAAAGATGATAAAGAAGATAAAGTTGAGTCTAAATTAGAAGAAAAACAAGATATTAAAGATCAAAAAGATAAAGAAGAAAAATTAGAAGTTAAAGATAAGATTGTACAAGAAGATAAACTTCCAAAAGATAAAATAAACGATGCTAAAGAAGAAATGAAAGAATCAGTGAGCAAAGACATCAAAGAAATCAAAGATGATGTTAAGGCAGATCTTAAAACAGAAATTGAAGAAAAAGTAGACACCAAAACTGAGATTGAAAAACCAAAAGATATCGAAGATAAAGAAGAAATTAAAGAACCCATTAAAGATATTAAAGATCAAATAAACGATGATATTAAAGACGTAAAAGATGAAGTTAATGAGGTGATTAAAGATGCCAAAGAAATTAAAGAAAAAGTTGATGAGAAGAAAGATGATGAAAAAGTTGTTGTTGAAGATCGTGGCCCAACTCATCCAAAAGATGAATCTAAAGAAGAAAAAGAGAAAACGATGGTGTCAGAAAATGATGCAAAATCAGAACCTTCAAAAGATGCTTCAATGGACTCTACTGAAGATATTAAGCAGGATGCAAAAGAAGTTAAAATTGAAAAATTAGAATTTGAAAAAATTGATTCTAAAGATGTCCAAAAAATTGATTCAAAAGAAGCACTTAGTATAAAAGATCATGAAGATAGCAGATCGAGTTCTTTAACAGAATTGCCTGAAATGTCTTCTGAACAAACTGTTCAAACGTACTGGGAAGCTGAAATAATTGATAAAATTGATTTAGGAAGGAAATCCCTCAAAGAACGGGAAGATGTCGCGAAAATAGTCGCAAGCGTAGCTGAGGTGCTAAAATCTGATGCTCCATTAGAAGAATTTGAAGGAAAAATTCCATTAAATATAACACCATTTCCTCAATACACCACTTCTTACACCACAGAATTAAGAGAAACCCACATCACAACGTTAGATTCCCCAGTTGCAGAATCAAAAATAATCAAAGAAGTTATCCATGAAGTCGACGAGGAGAGAAGAGATTCAAAAGCTTCTGATTTAATTAAAGAATCCCAAGAATTAATGGCAGCCACTTCACGGATGATCAAAGATATTAAAACTAAAAGTGATGACTTAGAGAGTGCTTCTGATTCTGGAACTGGATCATAGAATGTTGGTTATTGCTTCCAGTGAAGATGGAGGTGAAGAAATCGAAATTTGCCCGAAATGATTCCGAAAGGAGAGTTCCAAAAAATCAACTCTCGACATCGAAATATCTGATTATGAAAAATAAGAAATCGAAGTTAGTGTGAAAAAAATTATGAAATCAGAACAATCAAGAATATTTCCAGACAAATCAGAAAAATCAAGTCCGGAAGATAAAGAGAAATCGCCATTGCCAGTTTCTGATTTAACAGAAACAACTAAAGATAAAAAATCAGAACCGGAAAGTAAAGAAATTGCTGATTCTGGAAGATCAACCCCAGAAATAGACGATGCTAAAAGTTTGGCAACGTTAGAAGCTCCCCATATAAAAGCAGCCTCAGATTCAGGGAGATCCACCCCTGACACAAAAAGCTTAGAAGAAACCAAACAAATCGATGAAGAAATAAAACCATCAACTCAAGTTTTGCCCCAAGACCATGAAAAAATGCGAGGCTCAATTACCGAAATATCAGAAATTTTAACTTCAATAACCGAATTAAGAGATAAATCTTCGAGCAAAGACGATTCATCTTGCGAGAAAATTTCTGATCAATTTGAAAAGTCGGGAAAATCAACGCCGGATGCGACCTAATCGATAATGTCTGGGAAATCAACGCCTTATATGAAAAACAGAAAACTCGAAGTGTTAAACTCCCGGTTTGAAAGAGTTTGTAAGTTCTGGACAATCGTTAAAAGACGAACTGAAAGAGGCAGACGAACGAAATGATTCGTTCTCGACGAAATCAGACGAAATCCTACTTTCTTATGATTCTTGTCAAATCAAAAATAAAGGAAATGAGAAAACTGAAAAGACTGATGAGGTTAAACCAACCGAAGATACGATTGAAAAGTCTAAGAGTGATTTGAAGGAGGACCAAAATGAAAAGTTACTTTTGAAAGATAAAGAAGATCCAATAAAAGATGAGTTCCAAAAAGATAAATTACAAGAAGATGAAAAAATTAGAACACCATCTCCTAGCTTGCAAGAAGATGATTTAGAGTGGAAATCATCGATTTGTGGCAAAAATTGAGGAAAAAGGAACATCTATAGCTGGAAAAAGTGATGAATTAATTTGTGGTAAGGTGGATAAAAAGGAAGAAAAGCTACCTAAAGATTCTTTGGGTGACACAAAAGAAATTTCCATTGGCGAATTGAAAGATGAGAAGTCAAGGAGCCCATCTCCTGGTTTGCAGAAAGATGGGAGTCCAGAAAAGAAAGATTCCATAACTGAACCAAAACTTTCGAAAGATGGAATATCAGAAAAGATTGCCGAGAAAAGATTGTCTATAAGTGAAGAGAAGTCTTCTGGTTTCCAGAAAGATGGGAGTCCAGATAAAAAAGATTCTATAGCTGAGACGAAAGATGAAGTGTCGAAAAGTTCATCTCCTGGATTACAGGAAGATGGAATGCCCGAAAAGATGGAAATTGGCGAAAAAAGATTATCTTTAACTGATGAGAAATTAAGAAGTCCATCTACTGGTTACCAGAAAGATGGGAGTCCAGATAAAAGAGACTCTGAGATGAAAGATGAAGTGTCAACAAGTTCATCTGTTGACACTTGGAAAAAGTGATGAATTAATTTATGGCAAGGTGGATAAAAAGGAAGAAAAGCTGCCTGGTTTGCAGAAAGATCAAACACCAGAAAGGAAAGATTCTTTGGGTGACACAAAAGAAATTTCCATTGGCGAATTGAAAGATGAGAAGTCAAGGAGCCCATCTCCTGGTTTGCAGAAAGTTATCAACACTATCACTTAGTGCACGTAGTGAGAAGATTAACTGCTGAGTTTTAGATTCATTTACCCTAAGCTGATTAGCTGAAAACCAGTCAAAAATGCAACCCTGAGATCCAACCACCTCACTAAAAAGATCTGGCAAATTATCACTTATATTCACAGTGGTTGTGTCATCAGCAAATAATATAATGTTACTTGACTCAGGAACGTTATCAGCCAAGTCATTAATAAATAATAAAAAAAGTATGGGGCCCAGCACAGACCCTTGAGGTACTCCATACTTAATAGATAATTTTGAAGATAGTCTATTTTTATAAATTACTTGTTGCAATCGATTTGATAAATAAGCTTTAACTAGCTTAACAGAACCAGCATCAAAGCCAAAATTTTGTAATTTAATTAACAATTGGTTATGAGATACGCAATCAAATGCTTTCGTAAGATCGTAAAAGGATGCCTGTGCATAATGTTTGTTTTCAAAACATTCGTTAACATATGAAACTAATTTGCAAATTGCTGACGTAGTTGATTTATTTTTCCTGAAACCAAACTGTGACTCGTTTAGGAGGTTATTGGATTCAAGATACGCAATTAACTGGTTATATAAAACTATTTCGAAAATTTTACCCAAAACAGGTGTAATTGAGATTGGTCTGTAATTTGAGACCTCATTAATTGACCCCCTTTTGAAAACAGNCAGAAAAGATTCCATAGTTGAAAAGAAATTTTCTATTGGCGAATTGAAATATGAGAAGTCAAGGAGCTCATCTCCTGGTTTGCAGAAAGATTCCATAACTGAACCAAAACTTTCCAGTGATGAGGCGAAAGATGGAATATCAGAAAAGATGGAAATTGCCGAGAAAAATTGTTATAAGTGAAGAGAAGTCAAGAAGTCCATCTCCTGGTTTCTAAACAGTTGCAAAAGATAAATTACAAGAAGATGAAAAAACTAGAACACCATCTCTTAGTTTGCAAGAAGTTGATTTAGAGAGGAAATCATCTATTTGTGGGAAGATTGAGGAAAAAAGAACATCTACAGCTGGAATAAGTGACGAATTAATTTGTGGCAAGGTGGACAAAAAAGAAGAAATGAAAGAAGACAAACTGCCTGGTTTGCAGAAAGATCAAACACTAGAAAGGACAGATTTTTGGGTGACAGAAAAGATTCCATAGTTGAAAAGAAATTTTCTATTGGCGAAATGAAATATGAGAAGTCAAGGAGCTCATCTCCTGGTTTGCAGAAAGATTCTATAACTGAACCAAAACTTTCCAGTTATGAGGCGAAAGATGGAATATCAGAAAAGATGGAAATTGCCGAGAAAAATTGTTATAAGTGAAGAGAAGTCAAGAAGTCCATCTCCTGGTTTCTAGAAAGTTGCAAAAGATAAATTACAAGAAGATGAAAAAACTAGAACACCATCTCCTAGCTTGCAAGAAGTTGATTTAGAGAGGAAATCATCCATTTGTGGGAAGATTGAGGAAAAAAGAACATCTATAGCTGGAAAAAGTGATGAATTAATTTGTGGCAAGGTGGATAAAAAGGAAGAAATGAAAGAAGACAAGCTGGCTGGTTTGCAGAAAGATCAAACACCAGAAAGGACAGATTTTTTGGGTGACAGAAAAGATTCCATAGTTGAAAATAAATTTTCTATTGGCGAATTGAAATATGAGAAGTCAAGGAGCTCATCTCCTGGTTTGCAGAAAGATTCCATAACTGAACCAAAACTTTCCAGTGATGAGGCGAAAGATGGAATATCAGAAAAGATGGAAATTGCCGAGAAAAATTGTTATAAGTGAAGAGAAGTCAAGAAGTCCATCTCCTGGTTTCTAGAAAGTTGCAAAAGATAAATTACAAGAAGATGAAAAAACTAGAACACCATCTCCTAGCTTGCAAGAAGTTGATTTAGAGAGGAAATCATCCATTTGTGGGAAGATTGAGGAAAAAAGAACATCTATAGCTGGAAAAAGTGATGAATTAATTTGTGGCAAGGTGGATAAAAAGGAAGAAATGAAAGAAGACAAGCTGGCTGGTTTGCAGAAAGATCAAACACCAGAAAGGACAGATTTTTTGGGTGACAGAAAAGATTCCATAGTTGAAAATAAATTTTCTATTGGCGAATTGAAATATGAGAAGTCAAGGAGCTCATCTCCTGGTTTGCAGAAAGATTCCATAACTGAACCAAAACTTTCCAGTGATGAGGCGAAAGATGGAATATCAGAAAAGATGGAAATTGCCGAGAAAAATTGTTATAAGTGAAGAGAAGTCAAGAAGTCCATCTCCTGGTTTCTAGAAAGTTGCAAAAGATAAATTACAAGAAGATGAAAAAACTAGAACACCATCTCCTAGCTTGCAAGAAGATGATTTAGAGTGGAAATCATCGATTTGTGGCAAAGATTGAGGAAAAAAGAACATCTATAGCTGGAAAAAGTGATGAATTAATTTATGGCAAGGTGGATAAAAAGGAAGAAAAGCTGCCTGGTTTGCAGAAAGATCAAACACCAGAAAGGAAAGATTCTTTGGGTGACACAAAAGAAATTTCCATTGGCGAATTGAAAGATGAGAAGTCAAGGAGCCCATCTCCTGGTTTGCAGAAAGTTATCAACACTATCACTTAGTACACGTAGTGAGAAGATTAACTGCTGAGTTTTAGATTCATTTACCCTAAGCTGATTAGCTGAAAACCAGTCAAAAATGCAACCCTGAGATCCAACCACCTCACTAAAAAGATCTGGCAAATTATCACTTATATTCACAGTGGTTGTGTCATCAGCAAATAATGTAATGTTACTTGACGCAGGAACGTTATCAGCCAAGTCATTAATAAATAATTTAAAAAAAAATATGGGGCCCAGCACAGACCCTTGAGGTACTCCATACTTAATAGATAATTTTGAAGATAGTCTATTTTTATAAATTACTTGTTGCAATCGATTAGAAAGATTCCATAACTGAACCAAAACTTTCCAGTGGTGCGGCGAAAGATGGAAATTGCCGAGAAAAATTGTTATAAGTGAAGAGAAGTCAAGAAGTCCATCTCCTGGTTTCCAGAAAGTTGCAAAAGATAAATTACAAGAAGATGAAAAAACTAGAACACCATCTCCTAGTTTGCAAGATGATTTAGAGAGGAAATCATCGATTTGTGGGAAGATTGAGGAAAAAAGAACATCTGATTGAGGAAAAAAGAACATCTATAGCTGGAAAAAGTGATGAATTAATTTGTGGCAAGGTGGACAAAAAAGAAGAAATGAAAGAAGACAAGCTGCAGAAAGATCAAACACCAGAAAGGACAGATTTTTTGGGTGACAGAAAAGATTCCATAGTTGAAAATAAATTTTCTATTGGCGAATTGAAATATGAGAAGTCAAGGAGCTCATCTCCTGGTTTGCAGAAAGATTCCATAACTGAACCAAAACTTTCCAGTGATGAGGCGAAAGATGGAATATCAGAAAAGATGGAAATTGCCGAGAAAAATTGTTATAAGTGAAGAGAAGTCAAGAAGTCCATCTCCTGGTTTCTAGAAAGTTGCAAAAGATAAATTACAAGAAGATGAAAAAACTAGAACACCATCTCCTAGCTTGCAAGAAGTTGATTTAGAGAGGAAATCATCGATTTGTGGGAAGATTGAGGAAAAAAGAACATCTATAGCTGGAAAAAGTGATGAATTAATTTGTGGCAAGGTGGATAAAAAAGAAGAAATGAAAGAAGACAAGCTGGCTGGTTTGCAGAAAGATCAAACACCAGAAAGGACAGATTTTTTGGGTGACAGAAAAGATTTTATGGTTGAAAAGAAATTTTCCATTGGTGAATTGAAATATGAGAAGTTAAGGAGCTCATCTCCTGGTTTGCAGAAAGATTCTATAACTGAACCAAAACTTTCCTGTGATGAGGCGAAAGATGGAATATCAGAAAAGATAGAAATTGCCGAGAAAAGATTGTCCATAAGTGAAGAGAAGTCAAGAAGTCCATCTCCTGGTTTCTAGAAAGTTGCAAAAGATAAATTACAAGAAGATGAAAAAACTAGAACACCATCTCTTAGTTTACAAGAAGTTGATTTAGAGAGGAAATCATCTATTTGTGGGAAGATTGAGGAAAAAAGAACATCTATAGCTGGAAAAAGTGATGAATTAATTTGTGGCAAGGTGGATAAAAAAGAAGAAATGAAAGAAGACAAGCTGGCTGGTTTGCAGAAAGATCAAACACCAGAAAGGACAGATTTTTGGGTGACAGAAAAGATTCCATAGTTGAAAAGAAATTTTCTATTGGCGAATTGAAATATGAGAAGTCAAGGAGCTCATCTCCTGGTTTGCAGAAAGATTCCATAACTGAACCAAAACTTTCCAGTGATGAGGCGAAAGATGGAATATCAGAAAAGATGGAAATTGCCGAGAAAAATTGTTATAAGTGAAGAGAAGTCAAGAAGTCCATCTCCTGGTTTCTAGAAAGTTGCAAAAGATAAATTACAAGAAGATGAAAAAACTAGAACACCATCTCCTAGCTTGCAAGAAGTTGATTTAGAGAGGAAATCATCGATTTGTGGGAAGATTGAGGAAAAAAGAACATCTATAGCTGGAAAAAGTGATGAATTAATTTGTGGCAAGGTGGATAAAAAGGAAGAAAAGCTGCCTGGTTTGCAGAAAGATCAAACACGAGAAAGGACAGATTTTTGGGTGACAGAAAAGATTTTATAGTTGAAAAGAAATTTTCTATTGGCGAATTGAAAGATGAGAAGTCAAGGAGCTCATCTCCTGGTTTGCAGAAAGATTCCATAACTGAATCAAAGCTTTCCAGTGATGAGGCGAAAGATGGAATATCAGAAAAGATGGAAATTGCAGAGAAAAATTGTTATAAGTGAAGAGAAGTCAAGAATTCCATCTCCTGGTTTCTAGAAAGTTGCAAAAGATAAATTACAAGAAGATGAAAAAACTAGAACACTATCTCCTAGCTTGTAAGAAGTTGATTTAGAGAGAAAATCATCCATTTGTGGGAAGATTGAGGAAAAAAGAACATCTATACCTGAAAAAAGTGATGAATTAATTTGTGGCAAGGTGGACAAAAAGGAAGAAATGAAAGAAGACAAGCTGCCTGGTTTGCAGAAAGATCAAACACCAGAAAGGACAGATTTTTGGGTGACAGAAAAGATTCCATAGTTGAAAAGAAATTTTCTATTGGCGAATTGAAATATGAGAAGTCAAGGAGCTCATCTCCTGGTTTGCAGAAAGATTCCATAACTGAACCAAAACTTTCCAGTGATGAGGCGAAAGATGGAATATCAGAAAAGATGGAAATTGCCGAGAAAAATTGTTATAAGTGAAGAGAAGTCAAGAAGTCCATCTCCTGGTTTCTAGAAAGTTGCAAAAGATAAATTACAAGAAGATGAAAAAACTAGAACACCATCTCCTAGCTTGCAAGAAGTTGATTTAGAGAGGAAATCATCGATTTGTGGGAAGATTGAGGAAAAAAGAACATCTATAGCTGGAAAAAGTGATGAATTAATTTGTGGCAAGGTGGATAAAAAGGAAGAAATGAAGGAACACAAGCTGCAGAAAGATCAAACACCAGAAAGGACAGATTTTTTGGGTGACAGAAAAGATTTTATGGTTGAAAAGAAATTTTCCATTGGTGAATTGAAATATGAGAAGTCAAGGAGCTCATCTCCTGGTTTGCAGAAAGATTCCATAACTGAACCAAAACTGAACAGAAAAGATGGAAATTGCCGAGAAAAGATTGTCTATAAGTGAAGAGGAGTCAAGAAGTCCATCTCCTGGTTTCCAGAAAGACTGGAGTCTAGAAAAAAGAGATTCTATAGCTGAGAGGAAAGATAAAGTGTCGAAAAGTCCATCTTCTGATTTCAAGAAAGATTCCATATCACAACAAATACTTTCCATCATTGGGGCGAATGATGGCGTGTCAAAAAGTTCATTTCTTGGATTATAGGAAGACGGATTGATGAAAATTGGCGAAAAAGATTATCCATAAGTGATGAGAAATCAAGAAGTCCAGATAAAAGAGACTCTATTTCTATCTTTGAGATGAAAGATGAAGTGTCAACAAGTTCATTTGTTGGATTACAAAAATATGGAGTACCAGAAAAGATGGAAATTGCCCAGAAAGGGTTATCTGTAACTGATGAAAAGTCAAAAACCCCATCTCCTAGTCTCCAAAAAGATGGGAGTCCAGAAAAGAAAGATTCTATAATTGAACCAAGACTTTCCAGTGGTGAGGCGAAAGATGGAAAAAATGGAATTTTTCATCTTAATCAGAAACGTTTATTATCAGGATTGATGTTATCAGCTATATTAAAAGACTAAGAAGTACTGTGAAAATTTAACATAAAGTTATTAAAATTCATTTTCTAAATTCCCATAATTTAATTAGTCTTAGTTGCTCTTCAACTCTACTCGCCATAAACCGTTATAACTAACCCAATTATCGTAGGTATGCTCCGTATAACTATGAACCACCACTCCTTACCGGTTTTAACCAGCACATTGTCTATTAATAATCCTTTCTAAATTAAAAAAAGCAACCTAATTTTAATCAATTTGTGCTTTAATCATGTTAAAGGTGAAAGATTGATACAATACGCCTCAGAAAATTTAGTAACGGAAGTCCTCATCCATCCGGCAGTTAGCACCTTAGCTCAATGCATCAGAAATCTTCTAAGCAGCTTCACCAGACACAGACACATCATTCATGCTGGATACACTTTCGCCGCAAATGGTTCTTGGATTTTACAAGTAATTATAACACGTTTCTTTTAACGTTTTAATTGTTTTGTTGTTAATTTTTAGGATGGTACGTTCTCTTTAGTAGATTTTTCCGAAGCCTTCCAAGAGATTGAAGTTCAAAGAGTTATCCGAGCTTATGAAAACAGTATAAGCGTGGACGTTCATTGCGCCGCTGAAGGCGATTGGATCAAACTGCCCAAAGAATCATTCTCCAAGCACTGTAAAGTTCGTTTAAATCCAGTTGATGTGCTGACATCCGGAAGCCCTTCAATCAACAACTTCCTAAATTACCTCTCTCCATTCTTAGTACCTGCCGATGTTGAATCTTTATTAGAATGTTCAGACGTTGTCGGAAACATCAGATTTTCGCATCCAACCTTGTACATTTTTCCTGGAGGACAAGGAGACGCCGCACTTTTTGGAATAAATGGTTTCAACATGTTGCTTGATGGAGGTTTTTCGCGGAAAGCTTGCTTTTGGGATTTCGTTAGACATTTAGACCGATTAGATGCGGTTCTTATGACAAGACTTAATAATGGAAATATCTCCGGATTGAGCGCCGTTCTTAAAAGAAAAATGCAAAACGCTTTGTATCCGCAAATAGGGCACTTCTTTTGCAACGTACAGGAAAGAAAGTCGCTTTTAAGCCCGGATGGGGATAAAGATAAAGATCCTCTTTTAATAAATCTCCTCGATGAAGGTCAAGACATCATTACCAACTTGAAAAAGTTAAATCTTTCACCGCAGGTGTGTTATAGAGACTCTGAGCCGATTAATCTTTATCATAAAGTGGGACATGGTACTTTAGATATGTACGTTTTGAGTCCTTCGAGGGATTCTAAGGAAGTTAAAGAGTTTCTTTATAAATGGAATGGTAATGATCAAAAGTTGTTTGCGACGATTCATAAATCGAGTAGTAAAGAGTTTCAATTTCCTCTGCAAAATCTTGTTTCAATTTGTTGTTTACTCGTTTGGCAGCCAGCTAATCCGGAGGATAATATCACGAGGATTCTTTATCCGGGATCGAGTCCTCAACATAAAATCTTTGAGGGTTTGGATAAGCTAAAAACTTTGGAGTACATCAAACATCCGGTTTGCAGCGAAACTAAGCTCGTTTCAAGTTCCTCGATAATTGGGTTAAAAGGAAAACAGTTAAAAGATTCTTCGTTGGAAAAGATTATTCAAGAACCGAAGAAGATTGAAAAACCCAAAGAAAAATTGAAACAAAAAATCGAAAATAAAGATGAAATTAATGGAACCATCTCGGAAGAAGATAAAACCGTTAAGAAATCCGATTCGACCGACAGCGATAAGAGTCAGAAAGTTGAGAAGAAGAAGCCTGATGATAAACCAACGAAACCGAAACGTGAAGAAAAGCCAAAACCGAAACCCAAAGAAAAACCGAGTGAAAAAAGAAAACAACCAATAAATATGAGTGAGAAGAAAACATCTCCTACCACGCCGAAAAAATCCATCGAAACGAAACTTAATGGTGATGCAAAATTAAAACCGAAAATATCTCCAAGCGCAACCCCAGCGAAAAGTGCTAAAGAAGCAACGAATCGTAAAGTGATAGAGTCCAAAAAGCAAGCCAAAAAAGATACTCCAAAACCAAAAGAAGCTGAAAAACCAAAAGATTCAAAACCAGAAAGAAAGCCGATTTCAAGACGACCAAAAGCTGCGTCTCCAAATGCTCGTCAAGTTGGTAGTCCTCAAAAGAAAATTAATGGGGTGCAAAAACCAGATAGTATAATAAAAAAGGCTAAATTAGATAAAGAAGGTACTACAGATTCAAGCACTGTTAGTACACCATCAGCTGATCAAGTTAAAGATTTAACAAAATTAACCCCCGAAGAAATAGAACAATTAAAAGCACAAGAACTTGCCGACTTAAAAGAGGAACAAGAAGTTGTAAAAGAAATTGAGGCAGTTTTTCGAAAAAGTGAAGGCGAAGAAGATAACGACACCGAATTAAGAAAAATTAAAGATATCTCAATTGATGATAAAACAGAACCCGAAGAATATCTCATCATTGAGAAAGAAGAAGTCGATTCTTTAGAAATTAAAGAAGATGAAACTCAAAAACACGCGAGGGATAGCGAAGAATCCGAAAAGCAGAGGAGATTAAGTGATGAAGAAATAAAAGAGAAAGTTGATGAGGAAAAAATTAATATTGATGAAGTTGAAATTAAGATTGAAAAGGAGAAAATTGAGGAAGAAATTAAAGATGAGGAAATAAAAGCGAAAAAATCTGATGAAATCGAAGAAAAAAAAGAAGATACTTTAAAAGAAGGTTCGATAACGAGTCCGGAAAAAATTCCTGACGTTGACCAAGAACAAAACGTTGCATTAGAATCACAACCCGACGAAAAATTCTCAACAACAATTGAATCTGGCGCCACAACGGCCCCCACACTTCCCGAAGACGAACGAATCCCATTGGACGAAATCAAAGAAGACGATCAAATCGAAGAAAAACACGTCAAAGAAGACACGAAAGAAAAAGATGTCCCGATCATCGAATTACCACCAAAATCAACCGACATCGAAGGATCCCCAAAAATCCCCCCAACAATCGGTGGAATCAAATTAGATAAACAAATAATAAGAGACATTGTTAAAACTCCCGATGAAGTCGCCGATCTTCCAGTACACGAAGAAGCCGATATCGACCAATACCCAGATGTTATGAAAACTAGCTTAAATGATAACGATAAAAAGAAATTGGGGGAAATTTCAACGGCTAAAGATGTTTCTAAAAACGAAGTTGAGTTTCAAAAATTAGTCGATAGAGAGGAAGATGAAAATAAGTTAAGCGATGAGATTAAAGAAATTAAAGATAAGGTTCGTGAAAGTAATTTGAAAGAGTTGGATGGGATTTTAAAAGATTCTGATGGATTGAAAGATGCGCAAGAAATAGTTAAGGATAAAGAAGGGGGGAAAGAATTGGATGATGAATCTAAAGAAGAAGATGAGTTAAAAGATGAAATTAATGAAAAGGATAAAATCGATTTAATTAAAGAAAGTGTAAAAGAAGATGACAAAGAAATTGTCAAAAAGGATGTTAAAGAAGATGATGCAAAAGATGCTAAAGAAGTGGTGGAAGAAATTAGTAAAGATGATGTTAAAATTGATGCTAAAGAAAGTGAGATTGAAATTTCCAAAGAAGATGGTAAAAAAATTGGCGAAGGTGATGTCAAAATTGATGCAAAAGATGATACCAAAAAAGAAATTGATGTTAAAGACGATGAAACTAAAGTTACCAAAGAAGAAATCAGCAAAGATGATGTCAAAAAGGATGCCCAAGAAGATGAAACAGAAATTACCAAAGAAGATACCAAAAAAGATATCGTGGAAGGGGTCAAAATTGATGTTAAAGAAGACGAAACAGAAATTATTAAAGAAGATGGCAAAGAAATTAGCAAAGATGACGTCGAAAAAGAAGTCAGCGATGTCAAAATGGATGCTAAACAAGATGAGATTGAAATTACCAAAGAAGATGACCTCAAAAAGGATATAGACGATGTTAAAAAGGATGTTAAAGAAGATGAGGCAGAAATTATTAAAGAAGATGATGTCAAAAGAGATGTTAAACAAGATGAGACAGAAATTATTAAAGAAGATGACAAACAAATTAGCAAAGATGAAGTTAAAACAGATGAGAAAGAAGATGAGACAGAAATAACCAAAGAAGATACCAAAAAAGATATCGTAGAAGATGTCAAAATTGTTGCTAAAGATGCTGTGGCGGAAATTTCCAAAGAAGATACCAAAAAAGATGTCGTAGAAGATGTGAAAGTTGCTGCTAAAGATGCTGTGACAGACATTACCAAAGAAGACATCAAAATTGATGCTAAAGAACTTGCGATGGAAGTTACCAAAGAAGATACCAAAAAAGATCTCACGGAAGATGTTAAAATTGATGCTAAAGATGTTGCGATGGAAGCTACCAAAGACGATACCAAAAAAGATCTCACGGAAGATGTTAAAATTGATGCTAAAGAAGTTGTGATGGAAGTTACCAAAGAAGACACTAAAAAAGATCTCACTGGAGATGTTAAAATTGATGCTAAAGAAGTTGCGATGGAAATTACCAAAGAAGATACCAAAAAAGATCTCACTGGAGATGTTAAAATTGATGCTAAAGAAGTTGCGATGGAAATTGCCGCAGAAGATACCAAAAACGAAATGTTAGATGATGTCAAAATTGATGCTAAAGAAGATACGGCAAAAATTATCAAAGAAGATGACATAAAAATTAGTAAAGGTGATGTTAAAATCGATGCCAAAGAAGATAAACCGGAAGTTATCAAAGAAGATGTTAAAAAAGACATCATGGGCGATGTCAAAATAGATGCTAAAGAAGATGTGACAGAAATTACGAAAGAGGATGGCAAAGAAATGAGTAAAGGTGATGCTAAAGAAGATACTATCCAAGAAGATATGAAAAAAGATGTCGCGAGCGAAGTCAAAATAGATGTTAAAGAAAGTGCAACTGAAATTATTAAAGAAGATAGCAAAGAAATTAGCAAAGATGATATCAAAGTGGATGCCAAGGAAGTTGTGGCAGAAGTTAGCAAAGAAGATGTTAAAAAAGATGTCAAAGACGATGTTAAAATCGATACAAAAAAATATGAGTCAGAAATTATCAAAGAAGAGGAGAAAGTAATTAGTAAAGATGATGTCAAAGTAGATGCCAAGGAAGTTGTGGCAGATATTAGTAAAGAAGATGTTAAAAAGGATGTCAAAGATGATGTTAAAATCGATGCAAAAAAAGATGAGCCAGAAATTAGTAAGGAAGACGAGAAAGTTATTAGTAAAGATGATGTCAAAGTAGATACCAAGGAAATTGTGACAGATATTAGTAAAGAAGATGTTAAAAAGGATGTCAAAGACGATGTTAAAATCGATGCAAAAAAAGATGAGTCAGAAATTAGCAAAGAAGACGAGAAAGTTATTAGTAAAGATGATGTCAAAGTAGATGCCAAGGAAGTTGTGACAGATATTAGTAAAGAAGATGTTAAAAAGGATGTCAAAGACGATGTTAAAATCGATGCAAAAAAAGATGAGTTAGAAATTAGCAAAGAAGATGACAAAGTAACTAGTAAAGATGATGTTAAAATGGATGCTAAAAAAGTTGAGGCAGAAACTAGTAAAGAAGACGACAAAGCAACTAGTAAAGAAGATGTTAAAAAGGATGTCGAAGACGATGTCAAAATCGATACAAGAAAAGATGAGTTAGAAATTAGCAAAGAAGATGAAAAAGTAACTAGTAAAGATGATGTTAAAATGGATGCTAAAAAAGTTGAGGCAGAAACTAGTAAAGAAGACGACAAAGCAACTAGTAAAGAAGATGTTAAAAAGGATGTCGAAGACGATGTCAAAATCGATACAAGAAAAGATGAGTTAGAAATTAGCAAAGAAGATGAAAAAGTAACTAGTAAAGATGATGTTAAAATGGATGCTAAAAAAGTTGAGGCAGAAACTAGCAAAGATGATGTCAAAGTTGATGCTGAAGTAGTTGAAACAGAAATTACTAAAGTAGATGTCAAAAAAGATGAGACAGAAATTAGCAAGAAAGATGATAAAGTAATTAGCAAAGAAGATGTTAAACCCGATACCAAGGATGATGTTAAAGAAGATGTAAAAAAAGATGATGACATAAAAGATGATGACAAAATAGATGCCAAAGCAGTTGTTGCAGAAATTAGTAAAGAGAATGATGAAAAAATTAGCAAAGATGATGGTAAAGTTGATATCAAAGAGGATAGCACAGAAATTAGCGAAGTTGCCAAAGATGATATCAAAGACGATGGCAAAAAGGATGTGAAAGAAGATGACAAAAATATTGCTAAAGGACATGTCAAAAAGGACGTAAGTGAAGATGACACTGTAATTGGTAAAGAAGATGTCAAATTGGATACCAAAGACGATGTTAAAAAAGATGTGAAGGAAGATGACAAAGAAATTAGTAAAGAAGACGTTAAAAAGGATATTAAAGACGATGTTAAAAAAGATGAAAAGGATGATGGCAAAGAAATTAGTAAAGAAGAGATTACAAAAGAGACCGTAGAAATTATTAAAGAAGATGTTAAAAAAGATGGCAAAGATGATGACATAGAAATTACCAAAGAAGATGTCAAAAAGGATATTAAAGATGATGTTAAAGTGGATGATAAAAAAGATGCGACAGAAGTTAGCAAAGAAGATGTGAAAGTAGATGCTAAAGAAAGTGAGGCAGAAATTATCGCAGATGATGTTAAAAAGGATATCAAAGATGATGTTAAAGTGGAATCCAAAACAGATGTCACAGAAGTTAGTAAAGAAGATGTTAAAATAGATGCTAAAGAAAGTAAGACAGAAATTATGAAAGATGATGTGAAAAAGGAAATCAAAGATGATGTTAAAGTGGACGCCAAGAAAGATGCAACAGAAGTTAGCAAAGAAGATGTGAAAGCAGATATCATGAGTGATGTCAAAATAGATGCTAAAGAAAGTAAGACAGAAATTATCAAAGATGATGCCAAAAAGGATATCAAAGATGATGTTAAAGTTGATACCAAAAAAGATGCGACAGAAGTTAGCAAAGAAGATGTCAAAGCAGATATCATGGACGATGTCAAAATAGATGCTAAAGAAAGTGGGACAGAAATTATCAAAGATGATGTTAAAATGGATGCCAAAAAAGATGCGACAGAAGTTAGCAAAGAAGATGTTAAAGAAAGTGAGAATAAAATGGTCAAAATAGATGCTAAAAAAGATATAGCAGAAATTAGTAAAGAAGATATCAAAAAAGATGTCAAAATTGATGCTAAAGAAATTAGCAAAGAAGATGTCAAAATAGATTCCAAAGGAGGCGAGGAAGGAATTATCAAAGAAGATGACAAAAAGGACGAAAAAAAAGATGATCAAGAAATTAAAAAGGAAGATACTATAAAGGAGGTCAAAGAAGACGGTGAAAAAACTAGCAAAGAAGATGACGTTAAATCAGAAATAAAGAAAGATGATAAAGAAGATAAAGTTGAGTCTAAATTAGAAGAAAAACAAGATATTAAAGATCAAAAAGATAAAGAAGAAAAATTAGAAGTTAAAGATAAGATTGTACAAGAAGATAAACTTCCAAAAGATAAAATAAGCGATGCTAAAGAAGAAATGAAAGAATCAGTGAGCAAAGACATCAAAGATGATGTTAAGGCAGATCTTAAAACAGAAATTGAAGAAAAAGTAGACACCAAAACTGAGATTGAAAAACCAAAAGATATCGAAGATAAAGAAGAAATTAAAGAAGCCGTTAAAGATATTAAAGATCAAATAAACGATGATATTAAAGACGTAAAAGATGAAGTTAATGAGGTGATTAAAGATGCCAAAGAAATTAAAGAAAAAGTTGATGAGAAGAAAGATGATGAAAAAGTTGTTGTTGATGATCGTGGTCCAACTCCTCCAAAAGATGAGTCTAAAGAAGAAAAAGAGAAAATGATGGTGTCAGAAAATGATGCAAAATCAGAACCTTCAAAAGATGGTTCAATGGACTCTACTGAAGATGTTAAGCAAGATGCAAAAGAAGTTAAAATTGAAAAATTAGAATTTGAAAAAATTGATTCTAAAGATGTCCAAAAAGTTGATCCAAAAGAAGCACTCAGTATAAAAGATCATGAAGATAGCAGATCGGGTTCTTTAACAGAAGCCTGAAATGTCTTCTGAACAAACTGTTCAAACGTACTGGGAAGCTGAAATAATTGATAAAATTGATTTAGGAAGGAAATCCCTCAAAGAACGGGAAGATGTCGCGAAAATAGTCGCAAGCGTAGCTGAGGTGCTAAAATCTGATGCTCCATTAGAAGAATTTGAAGGTAAAATTCCATTAAATATAACACCATTTCCTCAATACACCACTTCTTACACCACAGAATTAAGAGAAACCCACATCACAACGTTAGATTCCCCAGTTGCAGAATCAAAAATAATCAAAGAAGTTATCCATGAAGTCGACGAGGAGAGAAGAGATTCAAAAGCTTCTGATTTAATTAAAGAATCCCAAGAATTAATGGCAGCCACTTCACGGATGATCAAAGATATTAAAACTAAAAGTGATGACTTAGAGAGTGCTTCTGATTCTGGAACTGTTCATAGAATGTTGGTTACTGCTTCCAGTGAAGATGGAGGTGAAGAAATCGAAATTTGCCCGAAAGGATCGATCACCTTCTCGAAAAGCTCCGAGAGTTCCGGAAAATCAACTCCCGAAATCAAAATATCTGATTATGAAAAATCAGAAATCGAAGTTAGCGAGAAAAAAATTATGAAATCAGAACAATCAAGAATATCTCCAGACAAATCAGAAAAATCAAGTCCGGAAGATAAAGAGAAATCGCCATCACCAGATTCTGGTTTAACAGAAACAACTAAAGATAAAAAATCAGAACCGGAAAGTAAAGAAATTGCTGATTCTGGAAGATCAACCCCAGAAATAGACGATGCTAAAAGTTTGGCAACGTTAGAAGCTCCCCATATAAAAGCAGCTTCAGATTCAGGGAGATCCACCCCTGACACAAAAAGCTTAGAAGAAACCAAGCAAATCGATGAAGAAATAAAACCATCAACTCAAGTTTTGCCCCAAGACCACGAAAAAATGCGAGGCTCAATTACCGAAATATCAGAAACTTTAACTTCAATAACCGAATTAAGAGATAAATCTTCGAGCAAATCCGATTCATCTTGCGAAAAAATTTCCGATCAATTTGAAAAGTCGGGAAAATCAACACCAGATGTGACCCAATCGATAATGTCTGGAAAATCAACCCCCGATATGAAAACGGAAGACTCGAAGTGTTCAACTCCCGATTTGAAAGAGTTTGTAAGTTCTGGACAATCGTTAAAAGACGAACTGAAAGAGGCAGGCGAACGAAAGGATTCGTTCTCGACGAAATCAGACGAAATCCCACCTTCTTATGATTCTTGTCAAATCAAAGATAAAGGAGATGAGAAAACTGAAAAGACTGATGAGGTTAAACAAACCGAAGATACGATTGAAAAGTCTGAGAGTGATTTGAAGGAGGACCAAAATGAAAAGTTACTTTTGAAAGATAAAGAGGATAATATTCTTAAACCAATAAAAGATGAGTTGCAAAAAGATAAATTACAAGAAGATGAAAAAATTAGAACACCATCTCCTAGCTTGCAAGAAGATGATTTAGAGAGGAAATCGTCGATTTGTGGGAAGATTGAGGAAAGAAAAACATCTATAGTTGAAAAAAGTGATGAATTAATTTGTGGCAAGGAGGATAAAAAGGAAGAAAAGCTACCTAAAGATTCTTTGGGTGACACAAAAGAAATTTCCATTGGCGAATTGAAAGATGAGAAGTCAAGGAGCCCATCTCCTGGTTTGCAGAAAGATGGGAGTCCAGAAAAAAAAGATTCCATAATTGAACCAAGACTTTCGAAAGATGGAATATCAGAAAAGATTGCCGAGAAAAGATTGTCCATAAGTGAAGAGAAGTCAAGAAGTCCATCTCCTGGTTTCCAGAAAGAGGGGATTCCAGATAAAAAAGATTCTATAGTTGAGACGAAAGATGAAGAAATGTCGAAAAGTCCATCTCCTGGATTACAGGAAGATGGAATGCCTGAAAAGATGGAAATTGGCGAAAAAAGATTATCTATAACTGATGAGAAATTAAGAAGTCCATCTCCTGGTTACCAAAAAGATGGGAGTCCAGATAAAAGAGACTCTGAGATGAAAGATGAAGTATCAACAAGTTCATCTGTTGGATTACAAAAAGAGGGAGTACCAGAAAAGACTGAAAGTGATGAAAAGTCAAAAAGCCCATCTCCTGGTCTCCAGAAAGATGAACCAATACTTTCCAGTGGTGAGGTGAAAGATGAAGTTTCAAGAAGTTCATTACAAAAAGATGGAATGCCGGAAAAGATAGAAATTGCCGAGAAAAGATTGTCCATAAGTGACGAAAAGGAAAAAAGTTCATCTCCTGGTCTCCAGAAAGATGAACCAATACTTTCCAGTGGTGAGGTGAAAGATGAAGTTTCAAGAAGTTCATTACAAAAAGATGGAATACCGGAAAAGATAGAAATTGCTGAGAAAAGATTGTCCAAAAGTGACGAAAAGGAAAAAACTCCATCTCCTGGTTTGCAAAAAGATGGGAGTACAGAAAGGAAAGATTCCATAACTGAACCAAGACGTTCCAGTGGTGATGAAGTGTCGAAAAGTTCATCTCCGGGATTGCAAAAAGATGAAATACCAGAAATTGCTGAAAAAAGATTGTCCATAAGTGACGAAAAGACAAAAAGTTCATCTTCTTGTTTGCAAACAGATGAGAGTTCAGAAAAAAAAGATTCCATAACTGAACCAAGACGTTCCAGTGGTGATGAAGTGTCGAAAAGTTCATCTCCGGGATTGCAAAAAGATGAAATACCAGAGATTGTTGAAAAAAGATTGTCTATAAGTGACGAAAAGGCAAAAAGTTCATCTCCTGGTTTGCAAAAAGATGGGAGTCCAGAAAGGAAAGATTCCATATCTGGAAAAACACTTTCTATTTCAGAGGCGAAAGATGAAAAAGTGGAAATTAGCGAAAAAAGATTGTCCATAAGTGATGAAAAGGCAATAAGTTCATCTCCTGGTTTGCAAAAAGATGGGAGTCCAGAAAGGAAAGATTCCATATCTGGAAAAACACTTTCTATTTCAGAGGCGAAAGATGAACAAGTGGAAATTAGCGAAAAAAGATTGTCCATAAGTGATGAAAAGGCAATAAGTTCATCTCTTGGTTTGCAAAAAGATGGGAGTCCAGAAAGGAAAGATTCCATAATTGGAACAACACTTTCTGTTTCAGAGGCGAAAGATGAAAAAGTGGAAATTAGCGAAAAAAGATTGTCCATAAGTGATGAAAAGTCACAAACTCCATCTCCAGGTTTGCAGAAAGATGGAACACCAGAAAGGAAACTTTCCATCATCGAATTACAAAAAGATGCAATCGGAAAAATAGATGAGAAACGTCTTTCTATAAGTGACGATAAACCAAGAGGTTTCCAAAAAGATGAAATGGCTGAAGAAAAATCAAAAACCCCTTCACCACCTATCCCTAAATCGGATCTTTCCATCTCTGAAGAAAAATGTATTCTCAAAGAAGGAAAAATTGAAGAACAAGATAAACAAGATGGTTCACCTGGTGTTCAACAAAGTGCAACAATAATTAAAGAAACATCGCAAGTGATAGAAGAGAAATTATCAACATCATCATCTTCTGAATTAAAAGATGAAAAGTCTACAACATCAACAGAAGAATCTGTTTTATCTGAAAAAATTAAATCAGGAATTGAAGATAAAGATATAAAGGAAATTAAAGATGTTAAGGAAATTAAAGATGTTAAAGAAATAAAAGATGTTAAAGATATTAAGGAAATTAAAGATATTAAAGAACATAAAGATAGTTCCTCATGTGTTGAAGTTGATGGAAAAGAAGAAAAATCATTACAGGGTGGTTTAAAAGTAGAAGAGAAATCGGAAGAAAATAAAAAACTAGAATCTAGTCTAAAAAGTGATATTATATCATCCCCAGTTCCTCAAATAACTTCAAAAGACCAACCTAAAGAAATAAAATCAACAAGTGCAATCCTAAATATTGTTGAAGATACATTAAAAGAATTAGATGGATTAATTGAGAATAAAGAAATAAAAATAAAAAAGGAAGAAGTTAAGATTGAAGAATTAAAAATGATTGAAACTGAAGCCAAATCGTCTGTGATAGTAGAAGGTATAGGAAAGGAAGAAAAGAAGACTGAAGAAGACTCAGGTTTAAAGACTGGCTTAGATGATTTAAAGAAAAAAGATCCGATCGCTGTAACGACGGATTTTCTAACGACTGAAATAGCGAAAATGCAAAAAGAGTTGGGTTACGCGGGAACTTCGAAAGATGAAACGTTGAGTTTGAGTGGAAAATCAACGCCGGATATCGCCGACGTTGAACGGATCAAAGAAATCCAAGAAACGTTGAAATACGAGAAACATATCCCGGGTCATTCTACGCCACCCACAGTGCCTGTTAGCCCGATCGTTAAAGATTTATCACAACAGGTTGAGCAAAAACCAATTTCAGAAGCAAAATTTAAAGAAGATTTAAGAAGTTCAACTCCCGGTAGTGATGACTTCGAACAAAGCGATTTTAGCTCGAGTCAAATGTCCAGGGTACCAAATTTATTAGAAGATAGAGATAGCGAAGACGAAGACATCCTAGGATCTCCAACTTCCGTCACATCCCAATTGGGGCACTCCCCCCAATACGAATTCGAACCCGAGAAAAAGGATCAAATGACTTCTTCGTTTTATGGAACTCTCCCATCAGATCCCACATACAAACCCGGAAGATTCCTAGAAGACTCCGATTTAGACTTTGAAAAAGCTATGCAAGAACACCGACAAGCTCGCGGAGAAGATTTAGCCGCGACATCTTTTGACAAACCAAAAAGTGTTAAAAAAGAGGAAAGTTTGATGACGTCGAGTTTTATCGGGGAATTACCAACTCATAAAGAAGAAGAAAAGAAAGACGAAAAGAAGAAGGATCCCATTGAATCGTGGGGGAAACCCTTAGGGTTGCCGAGCCCCGCGCCTCCATCAGACAATAAAGGAACGCCGAAGAAAGAAAAGAAACTCCCTGCTAACGTTACAGCCAAAAACAAATTAAACGATGATAAAAAACGGTCGGAATCGCCATCGAAGTATGATAAAAAGAAAAAATTAAATCCTATTTATGTTGATTTAACTTACGTTCCTCATCATGGAAACTCCAATTATTCTTACGTTGATTTCTTTAAACGAATTCGTGCAAGATATTATGTTTTTTCGGGTATCGAACCGAGCAAAGAAGTTTATAACGCTTTATTAGAAGCGAAACAAAGTTGGGAAGATAAAGAATTGGGTAAGTTTTATTATTAAATAAATATGTAATTTGTTATTAACATAAATTAATTTAAAATTGTTGAGAGATATCCGAGATGATGTAAAAGGTTAATAGAAATACAGGGTTAGTATAAAAGAATCCTCGGGGAACTCCATCTAGATGGACATTTATAGTTGGAAAGAGTCATGAATTAATTTGTGGCAACACCTGGCTGGTTTGCAGAAAGATCAAACACCAGAAAGAGAAAATTCTTTGGATGGCAGAAAAGATTTCATAGATGAAAAGAAATTTTGCATTGGCGAATTGAAAGATGAGAAGTCAAGGAGTCCATCTCCTGGTTTGCAGAAAGATGGGAATCTAGAAACGAATGATTCCATAACTGAACCAACTTTTCAGTGGTGAGGTGAAAGATGGAAAAGATGGGATGTCAAAAAAGGTGGAAATTGCCGAGAAAAGATTGTCCATAAATGAAGCGAAGTCAAGAAGTTCATCTCTTGGTTTCCAGAAAGATGGGAGTCCAGATAAAAAAGATTCCATACCTGAGACGAATGATGAAGTATCAAAAAGTCCATCTCCAGATTTTCAGTTAGTATTACAGATAGGATAATAAATGACATGTCTATAGATAGAGAAAATACTCAAATTTTAGCACATTATAAATATTCTATGTAGGTTCCTCGAGTAACATGACAGATGTCTCAATGATAGACAAGTTTAGTCCATACATGCTGCGATGTGTCTAAATAATGCGTCTTCTGAATTCACTCAGTGTTGTAGGTAGTGCCGAGGGAGTTCCTCAGGGAGCTCCATCTTGTTGGTATATAAAGTCACAGTTTTTTCATGATAGAATAATGGTACATACACTTTTATGCTGGATACGGCACAAAAAACATTCAATTTTTGAGAATCCCATACATGTTGGATAATGCCATGAGGATTTTCCGTTCCCCATATCCGAATGTTGTGACGGTTCACCTTGCCACTTAAATGAAATGTCTCCATTGCTTCCTGCGTACAGAAACTAACATAGGTCTACTTGACATAGTCATTTGGTCATAAACTTTGTACCATCTGTATACGATACGGTTTGAATCGCAATTGCTTACGCAAAATTTTCCACGTAGTTTTCTGCGGAATACAAAGTTTACGACCTGCCTTACTGGTGCATCACTGCTACATGAGTTACAAAAAGATGGAGTACCAGAAAAGATGGAAATTACCGAGGAAAAGACTATCTCTTGGTTTGCAAAAAGATGGACTCACCAATCCGTCTAGCCAGCGGTAAAATCCTGCTTGGCTTCTTGCTGTAGAATAATCTTTTCCAAATGAATAGCTTCTTCAACAAAAAAACCCAACAGAAGATGGACTTGGGAAGTGCAGATGGTCATACTAGAAATGAAATAAATTTTCTAATAACACACAAGATGCAAATAGTCGAAGATGACCACAGAATGGTTCGAGCAAAAATTATACATAAGTAAAGAAAGGAAGAAGATGGTCAAAAAACGTGTGATCATAATCTGGGCTTACCCAAAAGACATAACAGGTTTCCAACAATGTATTACGAACGTATTGGAAAACCTCAATCCACATGGAAACATCGATAATCTTAATGACTCGATAGTTGCAGCATACAAAAGAGTTAAAAGAGCTACTGTCAAAAAAAACAGTCTAACTGCTGTGCAAGAGATGCAACGATGAGGGGAGATGAGAGGTCAAAAATCGAGCTCTCTGTGTCGAGAGCCATAAGGAAAGATATTAGAACTTGTATTAAAAAGAAGATCGAACAAACTATACTGAAAAGGTCTTGCGCAGAAGACTGGGTATTGGGAGAAGAGGCTGTGGAGGATGTTTACCAGCTGCTGTACAGGGTGTCCAAATTTCGATGGGTTTGCAGGGTATCTCAGTTATTATGAAAGATAGAAAGTTGCGGCTTTCGCGAACCTGAGCTACTTTTTTGTGAAACTTACAATGGCGCAAACCATATTTTCATAGCCCTCTTCGTTTTTGATATACAGGGAGTGTTTCAAAATTTACGATTTTCATTCACCTCCTGTATCTCGGATATCCGGAAACGTAAAAACGAGTTCTAATAGATTTTTTCACGTAGAATCCAATGGTGCACGTAGAATTTTTCTAGTCATCACGGTTTTTGAGTTATAAAGAGTTACGTATTTTAGAAGTTGAGTATTCAGTATTTGAGTTGTGTTTATAACTCAAAAACCGTGATGACTAGAAAAATTCTACGTGCACCGTTGGATTCCACGTGAAAAAATCTAATAGAACCCGTTTTTACTTTTTTACTAAGTTTCCGGATAGCCGAGATACAGGAGGTGTCTGAAAATCGTAAATATCAAACACTCCCTGTATATCAAAAACGAAGAGGGCTATGAAAATTTGGTTTGCGCCATTGTAAGTTTCACAAAAAAGTAGCTCAGGTTCGCGAAAGCCGCAACTTTCTATCTTTCATAATAACTGAGATACCCTGCAAACCCATCGAAATTTGGACACCCTGTACAAAAGTCGATGTGGTAACAGTATGAAATTAGATCCGGAACCAGACATACTATCAGCGGAAATGAACATTACAAAGCAAGGATCTGAAAAATTTCCAGATATTTCGCTGGAGGAGATTGAATTTGCTCTAAGAAAGACCAAAAATTATAGAGCACCGGGAAAAGATTCTGTGGATACGGACGCAATAAAGATAGGTGATCCTATATTTGTCAACTTCATAAAAAATCCTTTAAAATGAGTCCAAACTCGACGTATTGAGGCTTTGCATCGGTGAAGCGAAAGATGGTGTGTCAAAGAGTTCATCTCCTGGATTACAAGGAGATGGAATGCTTGAAAAGATGGAAATTGGCGAAAAAATAGTAGCAAATTGTACTCTTAACACAGTGCTCTGTAATATATCTGCTCCCAGATGCATCAATGTAGAGAATTTTTCAAAAATATGAATATTAGAAGAGTGTTAAAAAAAATCGGTATCAGGAGCATGATACAGCAAAACTTTTACAATAAAAGTTGTAGAAAATTGTACCCTTAACACAACGCTCTGTCACATTTTTGCTCTCAGATGCATCAATATAGAGAATTTTTTTAAAATATAAAAATTAGAAGAGCGTTGAAAAAAATCGGTATCCGGAACATGATACAGAAAAACTTTTACAACAAAAGTAGTAGCAAATTGTACCCTTAATACAATGCTCTGTAACACTTTTGCTACCAGATGCATCAATGTAGAGAACACATTTTTCACTGTGTTGAGAGATTTTATAGCTGAAAGGAAAGATGAAGTGTCAAAAAGTCCATCTCCTGATTTCCAGAAAGATGGGAGTCCTGAAAAGAAAGATTTTATAACAGAACAGGGGCTTCCCATCGGTAAAGCGAAACATGAAGTGTCAAAAAGTTCATCTCCTGGATTGCAAGGAGATGGAATGCTTGAAAAGATAGAAATAGGAGAAAAAAATGGTAAAATAGTAAAAATAGTAGCAAATTGTACCCTTAACACAATGCCCTGTAACATTTTTGCTCCTAGATGCATAAATGTAGAGAATTTTTCAAAAATATGAAAATTAGAAGAGTGTTGAGAAAAATCGGTATCCGGAGGATGGATATAGAAAAACTTTTACAAGAAAAGTTGCATCAATGTAGAGAACTCATTTTTCACTGTGTTGAGGGATATCCGAAACAATCTCTAAGGTTGACAAAAATACAGGGTTAGCACAAAAGAATCGTCGAATTTGACGAAGCTACATTTGAGTTAGTATTACAGACAGAATAGTACGTAGTAGTAAGTTTTAGCACATTACAAATGTTGTATGTAGGTTCCTCGAGTAACATGACAAAGAGTTGACCTCGAGTGTCAAAAAGTTGATCTCCTGGATTACAAGAAGATGAAGTGTCAGAAAAGTTGTAAATTTAGGAGAAAAGGTTATTCGTAAGTGATGAAAAGTCACGAAGTTCATCTTCAGGTTTGCAGAAAGATGGAACACCAAAAAGGAAAAATTCCATTGTTGAAAGAAAGCTTTCCACCAGCGAATTAAGAGATGAAAAGTCAAGAAGTCCAAACAAAAAGATGGAATCGGAAAAATAGATGAGACACGTCTTTCCATAAGTGACGATAAACCCACCCCTAAATCGGATCTTTCTATCTCTGAAGAAAAATCCATTTCTCAAAGAAGGAAAAATTGAAGATAGAACAGTAAAAGATAAACAAGATGGTTATCCTCGTGTTCAACAAAGTGCAACAATTCGTCATTCTCCATTGCTTTCTGCATGTTAGTACAGAAACTCAGTTCACTTGACATAGTTATTTGGTCGTAATCTTTGGACCATCTGTATACTATACGGTTTGAATCGCAATTGCTTCCGCAAAATTTTCCACGCAGTTTTTTGTGGAATACCAAGTTCACGACCTGTTTTACTGTTGCATCAGGTAGGTACTCGTGGTGCTTTTACGTATACCATCGTAGAATGAGGGGTTATGAGGGCGCCTCCCGAGGTGATGGATAAGAAAATACCGCCCAGATATGAGTGGTACCGAGGAAATGAAATACTCGGGGCAAACGGGCAGCGTCTGATCCAGAGTGCGCGGCTGCAAACAACGTCTGTCCCAGAATGGGTAGCTGAAACACAAACTCACCAATCTGTCTAGCTAGTAGTGAAAACCTACTGGGCTTCTTGCTGCAGAATAATCTTTTTCAAACGAACAGCTTCTTCAACAAAAAAAAACCAACAGAAGATGGACTTGGGAAAATGCAGATGGTCGCACTAGAAATAAAATAGATTTTTAATAACAGACAAGAGGCAAGAATGATTCGAGCGAAAATGATACATAAGTAAAGAAAGGAAGAAGATGGTCAAAAAACGTGTGGACAAAATCTGGGCTTACCCAAAAGATACAACAGGGTTCCAACAATGCATTACGAACATATTAGAAAACCTGGACCCACACCAAAACATCGATGTCTTTAATGACTCGATAATTACAGCCATACAAAAGAGTCAAAACAGCTACTGCCAAAAACAAGCAGAGTCGAAAAATCAGTTTAATTATTGTGCAAGTGATGCAAAGAAGAAGGAAAAGAAGAGGTCAAAAATCGACCACTATTCTAGAAATAAAAGAGATTAAGAAACAGATGTCGAGGGCCACACGGAAAGATATTACAACTCATATTATAATATCTTTATAAAGATCTCCTCTTTATAAAGAGGAGATCACAAAAACTATAGAGAAAAATAAAAACTTAAAGGTCTTGCGCAGAAGACTGGGTATTGGGAATAGAGAAATAACCAAAATTAAAAACAAACAAGGAAGAATAATAGAGAAAAGGGAAGAAATACTGAAAGCTGTGGAGGATTTTTACCAGCCGCTGTACAAAAGTCGGTGGGTTGGGTTGCCTGTACGTTATCGCACACCACACTTAGGCCCCATTGGACCCTTTGTGAATCCTCCAATCACACACTCCGATCACATCAAGCAGTCTAAGGATTTGCCAAAGGTTAAGGCAGCACTCCCAGAGGAGTGTTCTCATTCTGAGGTTGGTCAGAGAAGGGCAATCACATAAGATGTGTCTGACCGTCTCGTAGTCCTGTTCGCAGGGTCGACAGACAGGGGAGTCCATAAGCTTCATGTTATGAAGTTGCTTATTTACCTTACAATGTCCCGTGTGGAGACCTGTGGCAGTGCGAAGGGCACTTTTACCAAGCCTTACGAAGAACTGAGCTGTAGTTGCTGAAGGAAATTTTAACAATTCCTTGGCAAGATGACAGCCCTTTTTTTTCTATTCCACCTGTTTAGGAACCATTTGTGGGTAATGTGCTTAATCGATTCGATATGAGTAGCCAAAGAGGAGGTAATATGAAGTTATATCCGGAATCAGACATACTATCAGAGGACATGTGCATTACAAACCAAGGATCTGAACAAATGTGAGATATTTCGCTGGAGGAGATTGAATTTGCTCTAAAAAAGACCAGAAATAATAGAGCACAGGGAGAAGATCGGTCGTCCCTGCTTGCTCCAGAAAATAAGGATCCTATTTAACCTCTGCCTGTTTAATAGTACAATACCGAGTAAATGGCATGACGCTACGGCAATACCGTTTTACAAAAAAGGAGACGTAGCCAACTTGGATAACTATAGACCAATAAGCCTTCTGAATCACCTCTACAAACTATTCTCGAGAATATTGATCATCAGACTTGAAAATAAACTAAAACACTACCAGCCACCGGAACAAGCGGACTTTCGTACTGGATTTAGAACCAACGATGACCTGCAGGCTATCAGAGTACTGGCTTTTGTTGACTTCTAGAAGTCCTTCGATACCGTTGAGATGAACGCGGTCTTGGAAGCATTAAGAGAATACCACGTCGATAATCAATACTCAAAGCTAATTTACAACATTTACAGAAAAGCGAGTAGAGTGGTGCAACTACATGTTGAGAGTGAACATATGCCGATTGGTAGAGGTGTAAGGCACTGTGACACGATGTCTCCTAAGCTATTTATTACAGCCCTGGAATATGAATGCAAGAAGCTGGACTAGGAGAATAAAGGCATAAACATTGACGGTCGAAGGCTAACAAATTTACGTTTTGCAGATGACATTGTGTTGACTGCTGATAATCTCTGTGACATTAAACTGACGCAAGAAGTATGTGCATCGGTTGGTCTGGAAATCAATATCTCTAGAACAAAATTTATGACCAATCTGGGTCCCAGCGAATACACTGTGATGGAAGGAAAGAAAATTGAGCTAGTGGATAAGTGTACCTATCTTACTCATGAAATTAAAATCTTAAGAGACTACTAGATCTGCGAACTAATTAGGAGAATAATCCTCTCATGATCAGCATATGGTAAACTCAAAGATGTGTTTAAGAGTAACCTATCAATGTGTCTAAAAAGAAAAGTGTGTGACCAGAACGTTTATGCCCCATAAGGGCAGAAACACTGACTTTGTCTATAATATCTGCCAACAGGCTTAGAACAACACAGCGTTAGAAATGAGGATTTGCGCCGAAGAACAGGCGTTATAGACGTCATTTTTCGCATCGCCAGACTCAAATGGAACTGGGCTGGACACATAGCTCGAAGGACAGATGAAAGGTAGATGAAAATGCTGCTGGAATGGAGACCTAGAGCTGACAAATGGAGTAGAGGGAGGCCCCCAATTCGATGGATGGGTGACAACAAGAGATTTGCTAATAACTGGATTTAGGCAGCACAGGATAGGAAGAAATGTCCAGCAGTGGACACATAGGGCTGAGTGATGATGATGATGATAATTTGAATGATCAGTTGGCGTTCTACCCACTTTGTATCTTGTACAATTGGCGTACCCATCTTGTATAACAGGAGTTATCTACACGAAAGTTTTTCTGTCAACTGTGCATAAAATGATCTTTCGCGTAAAGTTGTCGCACTGTATAGGTAACCATTTTTCTAACAATAAGTGAAATAAATCATCAAAAGTATTTGAAAAACAAATTGTGGATGCCTGGCTATAATTGATGTAAAATATTTGAACATAGCTTTGTTTGCAATAATTGTATGATCTGCAACGTTCTGCAATTCCACTTCAGCCATAATTTCGGTGACTTCAATACCATTTTTTTCTTCCAAAACTCTTTCATAGCTTAGATAGATATTTGTATTTCTGTTCTTTGCTTTCCTTGCGTTCTAAACATGTGGTAGTGATCTACCGTGAGCTTACCATTAATTATTAATGAGACAGCAGCATCAACATGAGGATTAGCCACTATTTCTACTTTAAATTGCAGCTAAAGAGCATTTTGATTCAAAAATCGTTCCTTATGTCGGGAACACCCATCAAATTTCTAAAACAATTTTCCAGCAATCTTTTTAATCCTTTTTGTTGCATTCATCACAATGCTATGGACACATAAGTTGAACTTGCTCAATTAAATAATTGCCTGCCAAGTCAAGTCATGAGTTTTTCTTTGTTCTTTCTTTTACCATATAATATTAATCGACTTCCTGATCTTTTATATTGGACAAGCTAAGGATCAAACTTGTAGACTTTGCAACGACGAGTTTAGAAACTGTTGAATATATACAGTGTGGTTAATTAATTATTGCACCCGACGTCATCATTGCAAGTATGCAACCAATATCACAATATTTTTATTGCAATACGCGATTTACGTATGATGCGTATTGCGCTGTGATATTGGTTGCCTAAGATGCAAAATTTTCGGAAAAGTTTGCAGTAGGTGGAAGCTACTGACATAAAGGAGCAATATTAAGGATCATCAAGGATCTAGATTTGCCCTAAACCTTTGGAGGGCTTAAGTTTATCATCCTGGATATCTCTCAATATCATCGCTGTTATTTACAACTCTTAATATTGTATATTGTTATTTATTAATTATATTTTTTGTTGTAGAAGTAACAATAATTCCAACTTATGACACTGACGTGCTTGGTTATTGGGTGGCAGAAAACGAAGAACTCCTAACGAAATACAAAATTGATTTGTCTCCATCAGCCAGTCGTTGCACTATCAATTTGCAAGATCACGAAACATCGTGTTCGGCTTATAGATTGGAATTTTAAGTGTTAAAGAAGAAAAAATCGAGATGAAACAACGATCAGAAAAGAACCACAAAAACATCAAAAATGAATTTAAAAAAATATGTTTGAGATAAAAATTCTAAAAGATTATTCCATAAAAGATATCATCCAAAAAATTCAACGTCCTTCTTATTAAAAAAAAAAAGAAACAAGTTTATAAAGAAAAAAAGTTTTTAAAAAACTTTAAAACACGTCCATTTTTTCTTTTTTAAGAACATCCAAAGTATACAAAAGAAAAAGTAACTTTTAAAAGGAAATTTAAGACAAAAAAAAATTACAGTAAACTCTTCCCACATTTCAAAAGTAATCTCTTCACTCTAATAACGTAATAAATAATAAGATAAGAAGATGAAAAAAGAAAAACATGATAACTTAAACGTATAAAAAAAAAGTAGGATAAGAATTAGTCCTTATAGAGTTTTTAGGAAAGGTGTGATGATGGAAAAACGACGAGCTTCGAGGAAACTTAGAATTGATGAGATCAACTAGCAAAGAAAAATCCTTAGGATGAAAGAAAAATCCAAAACGTATTGATCTGATTGTTGCCATTCGAGACAAATTTAAAGTCGTACCGACAATCCAAAAACATCAAAAAAAAAATAATAAAAAAATAAATAAATTGATTCTGTTTGGCATCAATTGGCTTTTTAATCTTTTTATGTATTCGAGATTAAAAATAAACCAAAAAATATATTACATAAAGATGTGATACCCAAGTTTAGGTGTGTTAGTGTGTTCTAGCAACAAAAAAATCAACCAAAAAAAAGCGATTGAAGAAAAATAAGAAAATTTCCCCCAAAAACCTTAATTTGTTAATTTTCTATAAATTTTTTTGCATGTAAGAAATGAGAATTAATGAAAATCTTTAAGAAAGCTATTGCTAGATTAAAAAAAAATATATCCGCTCGTTTAGAAATTTTTTGATACCCCGCTATTAATTAATTTAAATTTAAGGCCTATATTATATTATATTATATTATATAAATCTAAATATACAGGGTGAGAATTTAATCTCGACCTGTATTTAAAAAAAAAAGCTATGTTTGGAATGTTTAATCATTATTGTTATGATTCGTATGACTCATAGTACTTCTTTAACTTCTTTATAATTAAGAGTTTTAACTTAAAATTTATCTTAAAACAATTGTTGTATATTGAGCCGAGGATTTCTTAAAAAAAAATATTTTGAGTGCAGTTTTTTTTTGATAATTTCGTTTCGCAATAATAATTTGGCAATATCTTTTTTTTTTAATTTTTATTGCATAAAATAATAAATAAAAAAAAGCTGGACTCAAACAATTTGATATCCATTCGTGTCTCAACAACTAAGAAACCTTTGAGCTTGAACTTAGTACACAATAAAACGATTAAAAAAATGATTATGATGATTAAAGAAAGATTTTATTGTTAACTATTGTATTAGTATGGTGCTATGAATGCCTTGGAAAAGAAAGTAAAAAAAAATGATGGAATAAAACAAAAAGGAGGAAAAAAAAGAAGGAGGTTTGGAGCATATTTACGTTTTTCTTCCATAAAAAAAAGAATCATAAAAAATCTTAAAACCCCCCAAAAAAAATTAAACAATTAAATAATTAATTAAAAATTTTTCGTTTAAACGCACACTCCGATTATTTAAACGAAATGATGAAACGAAAAAGATTTTTTATGATTCAATTTAATAATATTATTTATTAACTTTATATTTATTTAAATGTTTAACGAAAATGAATTGGAAAAATCTATAAATCGAATACAAAAAATGAAATTATTATAAAAAAAAAGAATACTCCTTTGTGCAACATTCACCTTAAATTAAATTATATATTGATATTAATATAGCTTCTAGTCAAGATGAATTGAGAACGTGACGACCCTTTAGCTTACGAATAAAATGTTAAACTTACATAATATTATATTCAATCGCAAAACCAAAAAAAAAAAAATAACAACTTATGTATGGGATATGTATGAGACTTAAAAATAAATATTAAAAAAAATTATAAAAAAAGTTACATTTTTTGTTTTATTTTGTTTAATTTTAATTATTATTATTATTTGGGAAAAGAATTTTGAATCAAAATTGATGTCGCAAAAAAGGAAACTTTTATTGACGTTTCGAGTTGGCTTAATTGGAACATAGATGTCGCGCTATGCCTTAAATTAATATTAAGATTTAAAATTAATTATATACAAAGTGTTCAATAAGTGTGGAAAGAGAATTAGAAATGGAACAACNGACGTTTCGAGTTGGCTTAATTGGAACATAGATGTCGCGCTATGCCTTAAATTAATATTAAGATTTAAAATTAATTATATACAAAGTGTTCAATAAGTGTGGAAAGAGAATTAGAAATGGAACAACGTTTCTTGACAGCATTTTTAAAAATTAGAAATTTTTAATTTCCCTGTGAATAGTATAGAAATGGAATTCAAAATTATCTTGATAATTAGTGTTTGTATCAAAATATTTTTCAAATAAAACTTGTTAAGAATTAAAAATAGAACAACTTATCTTGACACAATTTTTGAAAATTATCAATTTTTTAATTTCCCTCTGAATAGTATAGAAATGTAATTCATGATTATCTTCATAATTATTGTTTGTATCAAAATATTTTTCAAATAAAACTTGTTAAGAATTAAAAAAGGAACAACTTTTATTGGCACAATTTTTGAAAATTATCAATTTTTTTATTTCCCTGTGAATAGTATAGAAAATGAATTCAAGATTATCTTCCTAATTATTGTTTGTATCAAAATATTTTTCAAATAAAACTTGTTAAGAATTAGAAAAGGAACAACTTTTGTTGGCACCATTTTTTAAAATTATCAATTTTTTAATTTCCCTCTGAATAGTATGGAAGTGGAATTCAAGATATCTTTCTAAATATTGTTTATATCAAAATATTTTTAAATAAAACTTGTTAAGAATTAGAAAAGGAACAACTTTTGTGGGCACCATTTTATAAAATTATCAATTTTTTAATTTCCCTCTGAATAGTATAGAAATGGAATGCAAGATTATCTTCCTAATTATTGTTTGTATCAAAATATTTTTCAAATAAAACTTTTTAAGAATTAAAAAAGGAATAAAGTTTATTGGCACCATTTTTGAAAATTATCAATTTTTTAATTTCCCTGTGAATAGTAGAGAAATGGAATTCAAGATTATCTTCCTAATTATTGTTTGTATCAAAATATTTTTCAAATAAAACTTGTTAAGAATTTAAAAAGGAACAGCTTTTTTTAATAAAATTTTTGAAAATTATCAATTTTTTAATTTCCCTGTGAATAGTACAGAAATGGAATTCAAGATTATCTTCCTAATTATTGTTTGTATCAAAATATTTTTCGAATAAAATTTGTTAAGAATTAAAAAAGGAACAACTTTTCTTGACACCATTTTTGAAAATTATCAATTTTTTAATTTCCCTGTGAATAGTATAGAAATTGAATTCAAGATTATCTTCCTAATTATTGCTGGTATCAAAATATTTTTCAAATAAAACTTGTTAAGAATTAAAAAAGGAACAACTTTTCTTAGCACAATTTTTGTAAATTATCAATTTTTTAATTTCCCTGTGAATAGTATAGAAAATGAATTCAACATTATCTTCCTAATTATTGTTTGTATCAAAATATTTTTTAAATAAAACTTGTTAAGAATTAAAAATGGAACAACTTTTCTTGACACAATTTTTGAAAATTATCAATTTTTTAATTTCCCTGTGAATAGTATAAAAATGGAATTCAAGATTATCTTCCTAATTATTGTTTGTATCAAAATATTTTTCAAATAAAACTTGTTAAAAATTAAAAAAGGAACAACTTTTCTTGATATAATTTTTGAAAATTATCAATTTTTTATTTTCCCTGTGAATAGTATAAAAATGGAATTCAAGATTATCTTCCTAATTATTGTTTGTATCAAAATATTTTTCAAATAAAACTTGTTAAGAATTAAAAAAGGAACAACTTTTCTTGATATAATTTTTGAAAATTATCAATTTTTTATTTTCCCTGTGAATAGTATAGAAAATGAATTCAAGATTATCTTCCTAATTATTGTTTGTATCAAAATATTTTTTAAATAAAACTTGTTAAGAATTAAAAAAGGAACAACTTTTGTTGACATCATTTTTGAAAATTATCAATTTTTTAATTTCCCTGTGAATAGTATAGAAAATGAATTCAAGATTATCTTCCTAATTATTGTTTGTATCAAAATATTTTTTAAATAAAACTTGTTAAGAATTAAAAAAGGAACAACCTTTCCTGACATCATTTTTGAAAATTATCAATTTTTTAATTTCCCTGTGAATAGTACAGAAATAGAATTCAAGATTATCTTCCTAATTATTGCTTGTATCAAAATATTCTTTTAATAAAACTTGTTAACAATTAAAGAAGGAACAACTTTTCTTGACATCATTTTTGAAAATTATCAATTTTATAATTTCCCTGTGAATAGTATAGAAATGGAATTCATGATTATCTTTTTAATTATTGTTTGTATCAAAATATTTTTCAAATAAAAGTTGTTAAGAATTAAAAAAGGAACAACTTTTGTTGACACCATTTTTGAAAATTATCAATTTTTTAATTTCCCTGTGAATAGTATAGAAAATGAATTCAAGATTATCTTCCTAATTATTGTTTGTATCAAAATATTTTTTAAATAAAACTTGTTAAGAATTAAAAAAGGAACAACCTTTCCTGACATCATTTTTGAAAATTATCAATTTTTTAATTTCCCTGTGAATAGTATAGAAATGAAATTCAAGATTATCTTCCTAATTATTGCTTGTATCAAAATATGTTTCAAATAAAACTTGTTAAGAATTAAAAAAGGAACAACTTTTTTTGATACCATTTTCAAAAATTATCAATTTTTTAATTTCCCTGTGAATAGTATAGAAAATGAATTCAAGATTATCTTCCTAATTATTGTTTGTATCAAAATATTTTTCAAATAAAACTTGTTAAGAATTAAAAAAGAAACAACTTTTCCTGACATCATTTTTGAAAATTATCAATTTTTTAATTTCCCTGTGAATAGTACAGAAATAGAATTCAAGATTATCTTCCAAATTATTGCTTGTATCAAAATATTTTTTTAATAAAACTTGTTAACAATTAAAGAAGGAACAACTTTTCCTGACATCATTTTTGAAAATTATCAATTTTATAATTTCCCTGTGAATAGTATAGAAATGGAATTCAAGATTATCTTCCTAATTATTGTTTTTATCAAAATATATTTCAAATAAAAGTTGTTAAGAATTAAAAATGGAACAACTTTTTTTGATACCATTTTCAAAAATTATAATTTTTTTAATTTCCCTGTGAATAGTATAGAAATGGAATTCAAGATTATCTTCCTAATTATTGTTTATATCAAAATATTTTTCAAATAAAACTTGTTAAGAATTAAAAATGGAACAACTTTTTTTAGCACAATTTTTGAAAATTATCAATTTTTTAATTTCCCTGTGAACAGTATAGACATTGAATTCAAGATTATCTTTCTAATTATTGTTTTTATCAAAATATTTTTCAAATAAAAGTTGTTAAGAATTC